GAATTCAGCCTCATTTTTGCCAAAATTTTCAAGGTCAAACTAGTCTCGGAGCAGGTAAACCCCCCATTTTGCCGAATTTCGTGTGCTATAGTTCACCATCTTTTTTGGTGATCCAGAATTTCAACCTCATTTTTGCCAAAACTTTTCTTGGACGTCCGTTAAGACCTTAGCTGTGGAGCCAGTTGGCCCTCATGGCAAAAAGAGCCCATTTTCAAGGTCAGTTAATCCCCGGAGCAGGTCAACCCCTCATTTTGCCAATTTTCATGTGCTATAGTTCACCTTCTTTTTTGGTGATCCAGAATTCAGCCTCATTTTTGCCAAAATTTTACATGGATGTCCGTTTAGACCTTAGCAATAGAGCCAGTTGGCCGTCATGGCCAAAACGACCCATTTTCAAGGTCAAATGATCCTCGGAGCAGGTAAACCCCCCATTTTGTCGATTTTCGTGTCCTATAGTTCACCATCTTTTTTGGTGATGCAGAATTCCAACCTCATTTTTGCTGAAATATTTCATGGTTGTCCGTTAAGACCTTAACTATGGAGAAAGTTGGCCCTCACAGCCAAAACGACCCATTTTCAAGGTCAAACGAACCCCGAAGCAGGTAAACCCCTCATTTTGCTAATTTTTGTGTGCTATAATTCACCATCTTTTTTGATGATCCGTAATTCCGACCTAATTTTTGCCAAAAATTTACATGGACATCCGTTAAGACCTTAGCTATGGAGCCAGTTGGCCCTCTTGGACAAAACGGCCCATTTTCAAGGCCAAACGAGCCCTAGAGTAGGTAAACCCCCATTTTGCCTATTTTCATGTTCTATAGTTCACCATCTTTTTTGGTGATCCAGAAATCCGACCTCATTTTTGCCATAATTTTACCTAGACGTTCGTTAAGACCATACCTATGAAGCTAGTTAGCCCACATGGCCAAAAACGACCCATTTTCAAGGTCAAACAATCCCCGGAGCAGGTAAACCCCTCATTTTACCAATTTTCGTGTGCTATAGTTCAACATCTTTTTTGGTTATTCAGATTTCAGACCTCATTTTTGCCAAAAAATTTCATGGACGTCCATTAAGACCTTAGTTATGGAGCCAATTGTCCCTCACGGCCAAAACGACCTATTTTCAAGGTCAAACGAGCCCTGAAGCAAGTAAACCTCCCATTTTGCCGATTTTCGTGTGCTATAGTTCATCTTCTTTTTTGGTGATCCAGAATTTCGCCTCATTTTTGTCGAATTTTTTCATGGTCGTCCGTTAAGACCTTAGTTATGGAGCCAATTGGCCCTCACGGCCAAACCGACCCATTTTCAAGGTCAAAAAATCCCCGGAGCAAGTAAACCCCCCATTTTGTCAATTTTAATGTGCTATAGTTCATCTTCTTTTTTGGTGATCCAGAATTTCACCTCATTTTTGCCAAAATTTTACATGGTCATCCGTTAAGACCTTAACTATGGAGCCAGTTGGACCTCACAGCCAAAACGGTCCATTTTCAAGGTCAAAAAGCCCTGGAGCAGCTAAACCCCCCTTTTTGCCGATTTTCGTGTGCTATAGTTCACCATCTTTTTTGGTGATCCATAATTCCGACCTTATTTTTGCCGAAAATTTTCATGGACGTCCGTTAAGACCTGAACCATGTAGCCAGTTAGCCCTCACGGACAAAATGGCCCATTTTCAAGGTCAAACGATCCCCAGAGCAGGTAAACCCCTATTTTGCAGATTTTCCTGTGTTATTCACTATCTTTTTTGGTTATGCGGAATTCCAACCTTATTTTTGCTGAAATTTTTCATAGATGTCTGTTAAGACCTTAGGTATGGAGAAATTTGTCCCTCATGGCCAAAACGGCCAATTTCAAGGTCAAACAAACCCCGAAGCAGGTAAACCCCTTATTTTGCTAATTTTCGTATGTTATAGTTCACTTTAGCCGAAAGTTTCGTGGACGTCCATTAAGATCTTAGCTATGGAGCCAGTTGGCCCTCACCACCAAAACGACCCGTTTTCAAGGTCAAACAATCCCTGGAGCAGGTAAACCCCCATTTTGCTGATTTTTGTGTGCTATAGTCCATGTATTTTTTGGTGATATAGAATTCCGACCTAATCTTTGTCGATATTTTTCATGGACGTCCGTTAAGACTCTTAGATATGGAGTTAGTTGGCCCTCATGGCCAAAATGACCCATTTTCAAGGTTAAATGAGTCCCGGAGCAAGTAAACCCCCCATTTTACCGATTTTCGTGTGCTATAGTTCACCATATTTTTTGGTGATCTAGAATTCCGACCTCATTTTTGCCGAAATTTTTCATGGACGTCTGTTAAGACCTTAGCTATGGAGCCAGTTGGCCCTCACTGCCAAAACTGCCAATTTTCAAGGTCAAACAAGCCCCGGAGCAGGTAAACCCCCATTTTGCCAATTTTCGTGTGCTATAGTTTACCATCTTTTTTGGTGATCTAGATTTTCGACCTCATTTTTGCCAAAATTTTTCATGGATGTTCGTTAAGACCTTAACTATGGATCCAATTGGCCCTCACGGCCAAAATGACCCATTTTCAAGGTCAAACGATCCTCGGAGTAGGTAAACCTCTCATTTTACTAATTTTTGTGTGTTATAATTCACCATCTTTTTTGGTGATCCGTAATTCATACCTCATTTTTGCCAAAATCTTACATGGACTTCTGTTAAGACCTTATCTATGGAGCCAGTTAGCCATCACGACCAAAACGACCAATTTTCAAGGTCAAACGAATCTCGGAGAAGGTAAACCCCCCCTATTTTGTTGATTTCTGTGTGCTATAGTTCACCATCATTTTTGGTTATGTGGAATTTTGACCTCATTTTTGCCTAAATTTATCGTGGATGTCCGTTAAGACCTTAGCTATGTAGAAAGTTGGCCCATTTTCAAGGTCAAACGAACCCCGGAGCAGGTAAACCCCTCATTTTGCTAATTTTTGTGTGCTATAGTTAACCATATTTTTTGGTTATGCGGAATTCCGACCGCATTTTTGCTGAAATTTTTCATGGATGTCCGTTAAGACCTTAGATATGGAGAAAGTTGGCCCTCACGGCCAAAACGGCTCATTTTCAAGGTCAAACGAACTCCGGAGCAGGTAAACCCCTCATTTTGCTAATTTTCGTGTGCTATAGTTCACCATTTTTTTTGGTGATCCGGAATTACGACCTCATTTTTGCCGAAATTTTTAATGGACGTCTGTTAAGACCTTAACTATGAAGCTAGTTGGCCCTCACCGCCAAAACAACCTATTTTCAAGGTCAAACGAGCCCAGAGCAGGTAAATCCCCAATTTTGCCAATTTTCGTGTGCTATAGTCCATGAATTTTTTGGTGATCCAAAATTCCGACCTCATTTTTGTTAAAAATTTTCATGGACATCCGTTAAGACCTTAGCTATGGAGTCAGTTGGCCCTCACGGCCAAAAACAACAAAGCCTAATGAATTTGATGTGAAGAACCTTGCTTCTTGAACCCTAGCTTGAATCTCCTTCTTCTTCTTCCTCCTTAAGTTTCTAGAGAGAGAATATTTTGGGAGAGGATGAACTTTGGGATTTATTTGGGTTTTGGAAATAATGAGTTGAATTGGTGAGTTTTAGAGTTAAGAAGGTTTATATAGTGACCCTAAGTAACCGAAATTACCCAAAACACCCTCCATTTTAAGTGGGCTGCCCATAGGGATGGTAATGGGGCGGTGTAGGGCGGGGGCGGTGCGGGTTGAGCTTAACCCGCAAAATTTTTAATCCCCCCCGCCCCGCCTTGCATAACAACTCTTTTCATTTTCAACCCGCCCCGCATAATTTTTTTAATATTTTCTTTTCTAGTTATGTTTGATACTAAAAATAAAATTCATAAAAATAAATTCATTTTTCATTAAGTTGTATTAATTTAATAAGATAGTGACTTAAAATTTTATTTTTTAGAGGTCAACTGGGAAACATGTAAGAAATTATATTATTTTTTATTGAACAATTTTCATCTATTATCTTGAACATTTTAGTAGCTTTAATAAATAATGTTCTATCACTCTTATAACATGTAAAAAGTTAAAATTAAGTTTGAACCCACATAAAATCACATATACCCGCAACCCACCCCGCCCCACCCCACATTAATTTTTAAAAAACCCAACCCGCTCCACATCCGACCCGCACCACCCAACCTTAAACCCGCCCCGCGCCACATAGCCTTAATTAAACCCACCCCGCCCCATTGTCATTCCTAGTTGCCCAGGTACCACGTGGGGTCCCACGAGTCGTGGTCCCCTTCGTGGACCTTGATGAAGTGGCTTAGCAAAAGTACCATTAGCCCCACAAGCCCAAGACACCTTTACGGAGGGCACCATGAGTCGTGGTGCTTGCCACGAGCCGTGGTCCCTCTCGTGGGCCTTGAGGTAGTGGCTAAGCCATCTCTCCTCCACCCTCACACACCCAACTCCCCTCCACGAGCCGTGGTCTTCACCACGAGTCGTGAAGTGGCTCGTGAAGAGGGGCTAATTTTGGGCAGTTTTGGGGAGGCTACTGCCTAGCCCACCACGAGCCACACCACGGGTCGTGGTCTTGATCACGAGTCGTGGTGGTGGGCGTGGTAAGTGGGGCAGTGTCTACACCAAGGTAGGCTACCCTAGCCCACTCCCTTGGCCCTTGCCCTCATTTCTTGACGCTAACCCTCACGTTAAGCTCTAGATTAGCCTACTAATTTCCGGGGTGTTACAAGGTACACGTTACAGTTTAGGTGTCTAAGTTAATTATGTGAATAACTTTAAGAGACCGCAAATGACTTAAGCTTTTTAAATATTAACCAAATACAATTTCATAACTTGATAAATTTCCAAATAAAGTGTAATAATATTCCTAAATACGAAAAGTGTAGGAGGTAAAGTGGAAATTACTTAAGTGAGAGGGGTCAATAATGCTACTTTCGAGGACTAGAAAGTAGAAAGAATGAGTAGAATCTATTGTAGCTTTGGAGAGTGACACTGACAGTCCATTGATACATCAATCCTCAAACTCTGAGAATGGCCTATCACTCCGACAGTTCGTCTTCCATGGTTCGTCTGAATATCGGTAAACCCCTGCTCTTTTGAATCTCCTTCCCTAGGCATTTCGGGGATTAAGAATTTGTAGTGATACTCCATATTAAGATCTAGACGAATTGATTTCCAATTCTGTCACTATACAATGGATGGGCATAAGGTGCAGTTTTAGAAGTATTACTCTTTCTTAGGTCATGAATGTAAATCTCAAAAGTTGGTTTTAGCTCACAGGTTTTCCTTTTCTCATAGTACACTGAATGATGCATAAGGTACAATATTAGAAGCAGTAATCTATTTGGGTCAGAAATGAGTATAACAGTTACAGTAGTTCCAATCTTAGACATCTGAGTTGACAGAAATGATATTTCTCTTCCATTTCGTTCTACAACATAAAACAATTAAGAAACATTCTGCAAGATTGGAGTCTATAGACCTGTTGAATTTTGCTTAAATTAAAGTTCCAACTAAAATATTGGAGGTTGTTTCCATTTAAGTTCATCCCAGGGATATTCTCCTTTCCAGCTGGATTACGTATTTTAGTATTAAATATTATGTTTAATATCTTCACTTTGTTACAAACATGAAAGGATAATGCTGAAGAATTGTCACGCAGTAAAATGATTTTGCCTTGTCATTTTCTCACACACAAATCTTTTTTGGGCTGATTTTTATGAGTGATTCTGAAAATTCTTCTCTAAAGGAGGGAGGAAGTTTTGCACAACACTGGATACCCTCACACAACGTGAGCCGGACTCGATGCTCGCTGCTATGTTTAGTGGTCGTCACACTATCTGCCAGGAGTCAGAGAAGGTACATGTTATGCACACACTCACTTCTTTAATTACATAAGGCACATTGCGATTGACTCTCAGATGTTGAACTATAGTTAGAGAAGAGTATCATTCATAGTTAATGAAGGAGGATGGAAGTTTGCCTTTTTACTTTAATTTTGGAAATTTCGAGTATTTTCCATGACCTGAGAGAATGTGGGGTCTTCTCGTATCCCTTGAAATACTGCTCTATCTCATACCTTATACAATGATGTGAAGTAGAGAGCTGCAAGAATTTTAAACGATTGGTTGTCCCTTCCATATGCTGCAATTGGACAAGCAAAAACCTTGATTGGAAAAAGCAAGACCACTGGTTGCACATAAAAGCACCAATTCAGATTCGGTTCCTTCTCTAGTCAGAGATTATCTCCCAAAAGAATGGCTGTCATGCACCTGCCTCCCCTACCAAGGGAGCCACTTTTCATTCTTTCATGTCTAACAAACTATTCGTCTGAGGTTTTATGGTCTCATCCATATGTCTCAACTTGAGTTAAACTTATGTTGGCACTTTCCAGTAGCAACACTGAATGTTCTAACCTGTTCATCACCTTCGGAATTGACCCCCACAGATTCTGCAAGAAACTCTGATGTGGAACACGTAGCTGGAATGGACCCACTTCGGAATGAAATTTTTTGGCCCTTGGTTGTTGCAGATGACCGGCACCTGGTGAACAACATTTAACAGGCTATTAGCTTTTCAGAGTCTTTCACTAGAATGTTCTCTTGACAATTCACAACTTATTCCTAGGCTGAGTTTGGACAATATCATTTGTTATGCATAATGTAATGCCATAGCATCATTCTGTTTTTAGGCTAGCTATTCTTCATTCATCGATGAACGATGTTGAACCAAATGTGAAATCTAAAGCATGCATCAGGATACGATCCATGTTTGAGTATGATGGTTCTTATAGTAAGAGAAAAACACCTTGTTGGGTCATGGTAAAAAAGAATTAGACAAAAGAATCCAATTTGGATGTGATCCATATAAACCGATTTTTTATTTTTTGATAACTAACTTTAGAACTCTTGTTAATAAACCAAAACCATCTGATGACAAGAAGTCCTAGGTGAGTAGTCTTCTGCTTGGAGGCCAATTGATTCGGTTTTCTCGAAATCAAGTGGACTTGAAACCATAGATCCATTTTTGTGATCCAGCGACTCAGACACGGATCCTTTATCTTACCCACACACTGCTGGCGAGTGATCTTTGTTATCTTGGGATAGTCCGAATAAGGAATACTGTAGTATTCATGAACATATTTTTCATTTTAGTATCCCATTACTGATGTCTGTTAGTTCAAAGAGAAAATGCAGCTTGCTGAAAGCTTCAATGTATGTGATAAAGAAATTAAGCAGAGTAGTATGATCTTGCACAGATTAGAATATCCCTTTTGTTTTTTTGATAATTTTTGAGTGCACCCATGACTCACAAGATAGATGACTGGACGTCTTTTTTAGAGAACCATAATTTTGTGTGGTTTCTCTACTCTTTGGCATACTATATACTGGGTTACTTACATCAGAACATCAACAAAATAAAAGGAAACAAGCTAAGAAATTACCTTGAACTTCTTGTAATTTTGTAATAAAATAAAAAAGCACCAATCTTGTCACCAATTACTTTATGAATCTCAATATTTTATTCCTTTCTTTGGAAATGGAGTGCTGAAATGTCAGTACAAGATGCGATTTTTAAAACAGGTTCACGTGAAACATAACCAAGCATGTACAAAATCTCCAAGGTCTCTTACATTTTTGCACTTATTTTCTTTCTTTGCTCTTTTTGCGTTTTCTTTCTCTGTTGTGTGTAATTAGATGTTACATCATGTTAGTCTTGACACTAGTATGCTCAGCTTTTGTGTCAAGTGTTCTCATAGGATCAATGATTTTGATGTTTAGTAGTTCAAACTTGGACAGTTCTAGATAAACTGTGAGATGCACAGGGTCCTAAAATACTGGTTGGTTTTGGTTACCACTTACCATAATGCACTGTGCATTCATCCATATTAGGAATTAGCTCGGAGGCCTTGTTCATTGGTATTAGCTGGTTCTTTAGTTTCTGGAAATGCTATTTATAGCTCATTCTTGTCAAAAAATATATTTATTATCTTTGACAGATATCAAGTTCATGCTCCTTCATGTTGATCTTTGAGAGAAGAGACATCTATGGTCTATGTTTTCACGACTTCATATCTCCTTTCAATGTGTTTTTGCAGGGACACATATTCGTTGACAGGGACGGAAAGCACTTTCGCCATATCCTTAATTGGTTGAGGGATGGTGTAATTCCACCCCTGAAAGATTCTGAATATGCTCAGCTTCTGCGGGAGGCGGAGTACTATCAGCTCCTTGTAAATCCATTATCCTCTTCTAGTGTTTATCGTGCACTTGTATATGTACTGTGTTCTAAATTACTCATATTGCCATGTGAATGTGGTCATTAAGATTTAAGGGCAGATTTTGTTTGCTTGAACCATGTGCCTGTACCTTGTGGCAGTCTATGATTGGAATTACTTTTCTTAGTTTTTCAAGCCTTGGAGATACTTTTTCTGTAACTTTTTGGTGTTTCATGTAGGTGATATACTTTTCATTCATTTGCTTATGCTTCTTAAAGACCTAGGAGAATGTTATATTTAGCCTCTTCAAATAGAACAGGACCAGGTTTTTCCTAGATCATTGAGCTATTTGAGATATAGGTTGAGCATGCTTGAGATTTTCTTGGTTTATAAACCAATATTTCCTGAGATAGTGAACCAAAGCGCTACTTGTCATGGTTTCCAAACCATCGATATTGACACACCCACTCAACAGTTGTGCTTTATTTCTTTTGGTGAATCTTTTCTTGAATATATATGTTAAATGGAAGTTATAGAGATGTCAGTTTTGCCATATATACAAATGGTTTGGCATTTCTTGGGTAATGCCAAGATCTAGGAAGGAGTTGATGTTCAACTGGAAGAGTGGAGCTAGAAGAAGAAGCCACAATGCGTGGAATGTAACTCCTCTTGCTCTAATGTGGGTCATTTGGAAAGAGAGGAATATGAGAGCTTTTGAAGGGATGGAGATGAGCTTTGCTCAATTGTGAAGTAGTCTCCGATCCTTATTTTCTTTTGGTGCACCCATGTAGTTCTTATTTGTATCTGTGTTGTCAAAGGCGCGCTTAAGCCCTGAAGCGAGGCTCAAAACACGTTGAGCACTTCGACTTGCTTAATGTGCGTTACAGTGTCGTCATCAAGGCTCTACGACATACTTTTTTCTTGCGAATGAGCATTTCCTGAAGAGGTGACAGTAAGACATTCATATTTCACTTTATCGTAAAACAATCAATTTCTTCGTCCATATATTTGTTATTCATGCTTATAATTATTAGACTTGGACTAAACATGTATATATTTGTATGTTTTCTCCATTTGCGCCTTTTCTCAATAAAACCCATGCTTTATTTGCGCTTTGTGCTTAAAGCCTCAACGAACCTTAGAGCTTTTTTGCACTTTTCGCTTCTGATAACATTGGTTTGTATAGAGGATTGGTTCAAAGTTGATAACATTGAAGAGAACCATTTTTTGTAGGTTTCTCCTTTTTGATATGCCTCTTGTATACGACCATGTTGGCCTTGTTATTATCAATGAAATCTTTTACTTGATAATTTTATTTTTTAAAATCTTCCTTTACTGAAGAGGTATGTTGTACTGAAATGTAGCTATTTTGGGAGTTATAAATATTTTCTGACAGCTAAAGTAGTTTGTGTGTCTGCGGAGTTGTTAAGATCTCTTAGTTCACCTATTTCTTTTCAGGGTCTAGTAGATGGAATTAAATGTGCCCTAAGTAAGAGGAAGGAGGATGAGGAGTTGGGTACTGAATTGACACGCATTGACATTATCAAATGCATACAGTCTGACAGAGTCAGATTTCGGGGAATTAATCTTTCTGGTCTTGATCTTTCGAAGTTGGTAATATAATCTAGTGCTAGACTATTTCATTTCTTTATGTTCTTAGTTGCAGACATGGATACTTGATCTAGACTTCTTGCAGTACCGTCTTGTTGTCTTAATAACTATGCTCATTTCCTCATGTAGTTTCTATGCTTCATAAAGAGCTTATGCTTCTATGGACATGATCGTCATCTCCTCATTGTTTTATGTTGTTTTTCTGTGTTTTAATAAATAAGAGAAGCAACCATTTAGTCAAAGAGGTTATGGCAAAGGACAAGTTGTCCTCAAATAAGATAAGTCTTACATTAAGAAAAAGGGAGCAATTACATGCAACTCTGTTTTCCATTTGCCCCAAGAAGGGGGGAAAATTAGAATACAGAGTTGATCTAATCTAGAATTGAAGGAATGTCCTGTGGCCTTACTCCACAAATTATAAAAACGCTGTTCTATTTAAGAGACTTTTTGGGATTTGAGGTTCAGGAGGAATTTTCAGTATTGGGAGGTGACTGAGCTTCAGAGACGGCAAGTTTTACTTCAAAAGCAATGTGAACCAGTCAACAAATCTGATGTTTTTAGTTGAGAATTGGGGAATAACAAAGTGTTCTCTGTCAAGTCCTTTTATGAGAAGCTCTTGGGTAGGGGGGATGAGAGTTACCCATATGCTATGGTCCGGATTCTTAAGGTGCCGAGGAAAGTATGTTTCTTCACGTGGTTAGCTACTAGAGGGGTGATTTTGACAGCAGAGAATCTTGGAAAAAGAAAGGTTTTCTGCTTGATCTGGTATTTTCTTTGCAAGGAGGCGGGTGAGGACGTGGATCATACTCCATTACGTTGCAAATTAGCCACGAGGTTATCGGGGGATATATTCAGATGGTTTGACATTTCTTGGGTAATGACAAGATCTGTGAAGGAGTTTATGTTCCGCTGGAGGAGTGAAGCTAGAAGAAGAAGACACAAGGCATGGAATGTTACTACTTCTGCTCTTTTGTGGGTCATTTGGAAAGAGAGAAATATGAGAGCTTTTGAAGGGTGGATATGAGCTTTGCCAATTGAGAAGTAGTCTTCGATCCCTTTTTTTTGGGTGCACCCATGTTGTTCCTGTTTGTATAGAGGACTGGGTGTCTTTTGGAGAGAACCATATTTTGTAGGTTTTCCCCTTTTTTGGTATACCTCTTGTATAAAGCCATGGGCAAGATATTTCTCCTTTCTATGGGCAATAGGCAAATGTAGCTCATTGGGAAATGTAGATTATTCAGCAGCAGAAAAAGCTTCAGCTTTGGCAGATTGCATGATGACCTTTTCTGCTTCCCTTTGCTTCCTACGAAGGTAAATAGTCAAAAAAGTTTCCCGTAGAATGCAAGCGTTGAGGCATTCATCGAAACAAAGAGAGAGGAGCGGAGTTTGGACTTCAATCTTCATGAATATAGCATTTGGTTTTGCGATTGAGTTTGGAACCGTGGAAGGCCGAATCAAGGCTTTTCCAAAATTTCAGTAACCGAAAAACTGAGCCCTGGAAACCAATCACTGAACTGAACAACCGAAGTTACAAATATGCATAACCTAAACCGACGGAATAAAGCGAAAACTGGTTTGGTCGTTTTTCGGGTCTTACACACACCCCTACTCTGACTTTATCCCTTAATAAAATTATTACTATGTTCCTTACAAAGGGGAAAATTCCAAAAAAGGAAGCCCATCTTGATAGCATCTGATAATGACTTCTTTGCTCTGTTTTACTGCAGTACAACCCCCCATCCCTTCTTTTTTGGCAACTTGGGAGAATCTCCCAAGCATTTGGCTATGCAGATGTGTTGATATCATTATTCATGTAATTTTCTACAACTTTTTAATTAGTCAATGATATCTGTTCTATGTGCAGGACTTGTCATTTGTGGATTTCAGCTATGCATGTCTGAAAACAGTGTTCTTCTCACGTGCCAATCTTCAATGTGCAAAATTCAGGGTATTATTGCTCAATTAAATGTTGCTGAATCTTCAACTGCAGTTAGTGTGTAGATCACTAGGAATGTTGTACTTTTATAATTACAGTCATAATACCTTGGGAGAGTGCGCATCTAACTTTAGCAGTAAATTTCTTTTATTTACACCTGTGATAATAGTCTAGAATAATATATAATTCTGAGTAAGAACATAGTAGTACTCCACTTTCTGTGGATGAGCTACTTGTTTACAGTTTTGGAGGTTTTGTTTGATGAAGGGAGAAAAGTTCTGAATTTGATGTGCTCTCACTTTAGCTTTGTTTGACTGAAAAATACTTCTAGGTCTTTCTACTTTTGCAAGATTAGGAATTATGTTTCGCAGTGTTGCAGCAGTCAACCTTAGCCGAGCGCTCAACTGGAGCTAATTGGCATGCTTCAGTCCTGTTGAGGTTATTGATGAGAGATGAGTGTCTTAGTAGCCAATTTTAGAAAAATGGCTGGACTGGGGTTTGACTAGGTTATACCAGCTAGATGAAAGGTCTGTAATCTTGTTTGGCTGCAGCATAGGAAGGAAGAAGAAGTTATGGAAATGGTTAGCTATGTTACAAGACTCTTCATTTTGTCTTGAGTATCCACGTTGAATATGCATCGCACGTGTCTGCCTTGTTGGATTGATAGCTTTTGCAGATTCTCATACCTCAGTCTCAGTGATTTCTAGTCTTCTTTGCAAATTGTCTCCTTTTATGCTAAGGGGTGTTTTGCACATTGTTTTTGACTAAGTGGTAGTTTGTGTAACAAATGTACAAGATTGTATGCCTTATATTGGGTAAAAGAAGTTTTGGAGATAGTAAGCAATGTTGCATAGAGCCATAGACTCTTAATTTGCCTTGATATACCAATGTTGACTGGGTATGACATGGTAATATCATATTGGACTGTGTGTGGTTAAATATCATTCCTGACTCCATGTAACATAATCATAAGCACACCCAAGGTTAAGGGTGTGGCCTAGTGGTCAATGAAGTGGGTTGAGAATCATGAGGTCTTCGGTTCAAATCATAGCAGAGACAAAAACACTAGGTGGTTTCTTCCCATTTGTCCTAGCCTTGGTGGATAGAGTTAACTGATACCTGTTGCTACCTGTTGCTGGCGGGAGGTGGCAGGTATTTGGTGAAATTAGTTGAGGTGCACTCAAGCTAGCCTGTACACCACGGTTATAAAAAGATAAATAACATAGACATAGGCATATCAATTTGTCTCAGCCTTGCTAATTGTCTCATTTGGTGCTGAGGGTATTTGCAAACATACTTCAGACTAAGCTGGTTGTTTCTATAAGTTAAGTGCACAATATTGCCTGTTTACTTGCAGTTAGAAAAAAAAATGCACATTTTCTTTGGTGTAGCCATTGTACATAGCTGGCAACTTTTGGTTTTCTTCAATGAGAAGTCCTTGCTTACAAATCTAGAAAAAGGATAAGGAAAAGGAAAAGGAAAAGGAAAAGTTAGCTTTTATGCAGTGATACTCTTAGTTGGATGGTGGTATATTCAATGTCTTTGTTGAAAAGGGACTCTAGGAACATTTGTACTTCTAAGCTCCTAACACTCCCATGACCTAGTTACTAAATAATACTATTTTTTTTCTTGGTCGTTCTTTAACTTTTGTCGCAGGATGTCGATGCCGAAGCTTCCATTTTTCACAATGCCACATTGCGCGAGTAAGCTATAGCACATAATCTCTCGGTCTCCACATCTTATGTAGATCATGCATAGTGTTTAATCATCTTAACAGTGTTTGATTTTTCAAAGATTCACCCTCTTTACATCCTCTTTTTAACAGGCTTTACATGTATGTGTGGATTAAAATTTAAGCACATAAATATTATTTTCAAGCCCATCTTTATTGTCAAGTTGCAACCTTAGTGATTTCATCTTGCCTAGGGAAGATGTGAATTTACTGGAGCAAATCTTCGTGGAGCTGTATTAGCTGGTGCTAATCTTCAAAGTGCAAATTTACAAGGTAATGGTTATTACAGACTACAGAGTACCGATTTGTTCTGAAACTAAACGGTAAGAGTGATTTCTTCATGTGGAGTTCTGCACAAGTAAGACTACAATTTACAACCAATAATTTGTGTTTCTTCAAGTTTGTTGTTGCTGTATTTCGAGCCATGTCCAATCTCCTTATATCCTGAGAAGAAAAGAAAGGGAGAATAGAAGAAGGTTGAGAGACTAGAGAGGGGGTGGGGGTGGAGAGGGGGTGTTGAGAGAATGAGAACAGCAAGAATTACTTGTTTCTTGGAAGAGAGGTATTCTTTGGGTGATTTTTCTAGCATCAGGCACTCCTATGGAAGTGTGCTATGTTTCTGTTCTATGGTGCATCATGCATGTTTGAAGTGTTATGTGCTAGAACCTCAAATGCTTACTGTTAGACAGGTAGGTTATAATGTTTGAAGTAGGTGTATTCTGAATTTATCAACTTATCAGATAATCAATGTATCTACCTTCTTTGCTCTAAGTTGCCCGGACTCTTCACTTTCATTATAAGTTGCTGTTTTTGTTTCCCCGTTTAAAGTATGATGAACGATCTGCTTGCTATCTAGATATCTATTATTTTTCTTGGTCTCCCTGACATATTTATTATTATGATAATCTTCCTTTATTTCCATACAGATGCTTGTCTAATAGGCTGTAGCTTTTGTGGGGCGGATCTTCGTTCTGCTCACCTACAGGTTAAACTTCTAAAACCGTAATGTCTGTTGCTGTATCCTCTGTGGATCCTTTTAAATTTTTGACACTTTTATGTGTTTTCTTGACAAGATATTCTACTACAGCCCCATTCTCTGATGCACCTAAATTATATAATTCTTATTCATCTTTGATGGTAGAAAGTGAGCATGTAATGATTTGGAATAAGGCCTAGATTCTTATCCTTTGCCTGAATCCTCTCACTTCAGTTTTACAACTCTGTTAGCATTTATATTCTGAGGCCTGTTTAATGTGCTGAATTACTGTTTATATTTATTCCCAGACAGCTGATCTTACCAATGCCAACCTCGAAGGAGCTAATCTTGAAGGTGCAAATCTGAAGGTAAAAGTTATGCATGTATTACTATAGCCTAAATTCACCCGAAGGTGAAATAATATTGGATACAGAAGCAGCTATTAAAACTATAGTCAAAAGTATTATTTGTGCTTCTGCTAAAATCTTGCAAACTTTCTTTAAAAGTACTTACCCAGAGGCCCAGACTGTTAAAATATTTTAATTGCTTGTAATTCACTGGAAGTTCTCTCAAATGATCATGTCATTCCATTTCTGTTAGTGTTAAGATTTCTGCTAAAATCTTACTAACTGTTATTTTAACAGTGATTGTAAAGTACTCTATGTAAGTTTTGCTTCTTTCTTGGACCACAGTTTCTTGCAACAGGAACAAGTGACCTTCCGACAGCCTAATATACCTAATTCTTCTCCGCACAGCTTCAAAATGCTTTTTTGACACAATGAAAACATTTAAGATATTATCCTAACACAATGACACATGGGCCTTCTATTCGCCTCAAAAGCGATTCCTCCTCATGTATTATGCTAGTTATCTTGGCCTGACCTGCAGAGCTGAACAATTGAATGGTGAATTCAATTGTAAACACTAGGGGATAAAGTTTACAAGGCACGAAATGTTTAACTTGAACTGGCAAGCATACCCAGACACCACCTTATAAGGCGTGCAACTCTCCATCCCTTCTGATGTGTGATGGGTTCTACATTACTTGCTTATCGATGTCACCCTAACCTTCTTTGTCTTCACCTGGACGGGCCATTCCATTGTTTCCATAAGGCACTTGCAAAACCCGGTTTACTGTACCACCTAAAGTATAATGCAATAAGATCTCTTCTTTCAGTCTCAAACCAATAGGTTCTGCCAATCCCCTCCAATAACTTGAGTAAACGAGTTTCCCAAACAGTCAGAAAGATATCTCTCACCAATAATCAATTTTTTCTTGAACTTTGCAGTCAAGGATCGCTCTCTCTCTTTCTCCTTTTTTCTTTGGGATCTATAAATAGTAAGTGCAGTCATTAATAAAGGGGCACCAAGGGTTTTCAGATCCTTCTGTATTGTCAAAAAGTACAAAAAATAATGAGAAGTGAGAGTTCTATGAATGAGAAAACGACCAAATTAGTCTTTGATGTATACAAGTTGAATTATTTTGGTCCTTTATATATACCACCTTATTGATATAGTCCTTGATGTATATAGAAAGATGGTCATTTTGATCCTTAGCCCTAAAACAAACAGTAAAAGTAAAAAGTTCCGTTAAATTTAATTGTGGGTTACTTTAAAATTGACACCTGACAGACCCTTTCTCCCTCAATCTTCTTTCTTTCACCATTAAAGGTATGCTCCATCTTCAGTCCACCCACCAGCCATATTCTTATAAGAAAAATAGTACACACTACACTCATTTCTTATCTCACTCCAAACAATAATTCCAAGCAGCTCCCATTTTCATATATACATAAATAAAACAAAAATTGAGACTGCTAAAACAAATGTGAACTAAGTAAATCAGATGATACACTCCATTGCTCCTCCCAAGAAAACTCCATAAACCAACTCTCTTCAACCTTTAACCAACTAGTCTCTCTTTTTATAGCTAGATATGGGAAGAATATAGCTTTCTTTTTGTTTTGTCCTTTTTAAAACTAATGATTGATATACAAAACGTTACCTTTATCAAAAAAAAAAAAACTAATAGTCTTTTCATGTATTTTTTTATTTCGTTGTTCAAATAGAAGGGTGAAAACTGAACGGACAGAGGTTGAAAATCGATATCTTAACAATATTCTTTGAAAATTGAAGAGATTTTTGTGTGCAAAAAAGGATTTTGGTAATGAAAAGAAGAATAAACCAATTGAAAATTGCAGCAGAATTGGTGTAAGAAAGACGATTGAGTAGAAGGGGTCTGCCACTTGTCAATTTCGAGGCACCCACAATTAGTTTAACAGAATTTTTCATTTGTACTGTTAGTTTTAGGGTTAAGAATCAAAATGATCATCTTTTTATATACATCAAGGATTATTTCAATAAAATAAGTATATATAAAGGACCAAAATAGTTCAACCCCTAAACATCAAGGACCATTTTGGTCGTTTTCTCTACTATGAACCATACAATAGCCTACTCCTCTAAAGATCAGATGAAATGAGTCAGCTACTCTTATTATATTTCCTTCTGAATCCAAACACGAGTCAGTTTCCATTATGCCTCTTAATTGATTTTCCACTACTTATTCCAGGGTGCGAAGTTAACCAATGCAAATCTGAAGGGTGCAAACCTTCAAAGAGCTTATCTTCGGCATGTGAATCTTCGTGATACAGTAAGTCATATTACCACTGCCAATCAGTTGGGCTTTGTTATTGCCTACTCATCTATCCTCAATTATGTTGATTCTGTGAAGCACAGACGTGGAAATTTTTAGGAAAGAAAAGATAATTGCTTGAAACAAAGCCAGATTTTCATTCACTGACAAAGATTAACCTTTTCCCTGGCATTCTGCTGGATGTTCTTGTAATCCAATTCACCGATGAATTTCCATCTGGAAGGAAAGAAAGTTGATAATGTGAATCAAAGTTCTCTTGAATAATAATAATTATATTGGAATCTCAGGGAGATCCGATGGAACCTTCGTCTTTGAACTTCAAACTACATATAGGAAATGCATTTCACCTCACCAACTATTGGGATGTAGTAATCATAAATTTCTAAAGATAAGTAAATGACACTCTCTCCCACTATAAACCATCTTTCCTGTATATCTGCCTTTGAAATTCCTTTTCTGACTTAAACCATTGAATTTTTGGGCGTTCATATGGCTACTATCTCACGAGTTCATTTCAACTTCAAGTTGCTATCTTTCAGTGTTGAAATAACTTTCCCTACCTCACAAGTTTTCTTGTGCTGTCTTGCATATTTCTAATTGTGACTGCTAAATTGTACTGTATTTTCTATGTATTATGTGTAAAGAAGCATGAGAGGTTAACATTAGCATTTTTCAATCTCTAGCTCCAAGTTTTGGAGTATAACGGTATGTCATTATGTTCTTTGACTACTTAATGTCTCGTCAACCAAAAAGGCCAAAAGGCAGAATATTTTAGTTATGAATATATGCCATTTATGAAGTTTGTGAGACACCTATCAAATTATGTGCAAAACTTGCTTGGTAATTGTTGCGTCCAATTGCACACACAAGTGTACGTGGTCGCACAAGTAATGTAGTGGCTCTAAAAGAGCCGGATTATCGAACCCATAAGACTTGTCGATTAACTATCTTACTAAATTATACTAGTCTAATTATTTATTCAAGAGTGCCAAAAGAGTTTGATTTATAAATAAAGAATGCAAGAATTAAATACTAAGATTACCTTTCTATGATTGGGGAAATTTTAGGGCTGCAACATGCTTAAGGTTTCATGTATCACATCTCATGTGATGAATTAACTACGGTTATCAAATTACTAATTTACAGGGTTGATTTTATGATCATGATTTCCCGACCTCTAATCGCCTACTCCAATTGACTTTCTAACTACATCGTTGAGCAGGGATAGACAAACTCAATTGGCGAGCATTTATATTTCATCATGTTTAGTAACTAAGCTCAATGTTCATCTGGGTGTTAATTTTGAACTTGAATCTAAACAAGTGATATGCAAGAGAGATCGAGCACTTTGTATTCTTTGGTCTATCTACCCCTTCATCTCTCGAGTCCAAGAATAGACAATATGTTTATTTCTATGGTGAACAAGCATGAAATACTAAAACCAAAATTCAAAAGTAATTTAAGTGATAGCCAACATTAATTCAAAACAATCGATGTTCAACAATTACTCGTAGCCGCAGCCCCACAACAATGGTCTTTAGCTACTAATGTCTAAGAAAAGCAGAAAAAGAAAAAGAACCCTAATGGTGAATTGTATTCCTTGTCTCTTGCACTTGAAATAGAAGTTCCCCTACAAAAGAAGCCTAGGGCTCTATTTATAGAGTTGGGGAAAATAATTCCTCCTTCTATTTGGATTTGGACTCCTTAAATTTCAGTATTTTCATCGGGGCATTTGTGGGGAAGCGCGCCAGAACTTGGCTTCAGTAGTTTAGGCCCTGGCACAGCGCGCCAGGCTGCTCCATGGGCGTTTTTCTTCGCGTTCATTTTCCCTTCGCTCTCGTCGCCTCCGATTTAGCTCAAATTTCTTTAGAAGCCCCTGCATATGCTAATCATGCATGTTAGTGCGCATTCATTGCAATACTTAATCAAAACACAACAACTATCATAAAAATGTCCTCGAAACATAAGGCACATGCGGGTACATCGTAGTAAATGGGCATATAAATACACCCAAGATCACCAACCCACACTTAAACCTTTGTTCATCCTTGAACAAACATTAAAGTTCATCTCAAAAAAATCAAACTAGGAACGCCATCACTTTGGTTGATTCAAACAATTAGGTCATATACAACTTTCCAAACATCAAGTACACTTCTCGATCATTATGAAAGATATAAAAATAAACAACAAACCTCTAACCTCCTAACCTCAAGGAAGAACTTTGAACTCATCAAATTTAAGCTTGTTCACCTATTCTCATCAAAGAACATTAATAAAACTACCTATCCATCATGAAATAAGTGTCTCACAAGAAGAAATAGTTCACACACTCAATTCAAAAGATTGAATATAAATTAAGGACTTCACATCAAAGAACAACTCTCACACTCACAAATAAAATTCACATGTATGCACAAAGAACCATAGGCTTGCCCATTATGTACATCTCCGCTAATTAAGCATGCTCGAATAGAATCAATTAGGACTTTAACGGGTTGTAATATAGGCTAGGGGACGGGTAGGAAAACTATATAATAGTGACTTACACTTCCCTAAGCACTTGACAATTTTAGACTTCATCACCCATTGTTTTCTTCTCTTTATTTTCAGCCCTCTCTACAACAATTATCATGATCTCAAGAATGCTTCAGTCATTTTTTTTCTGAAGGATTTTTTTTTCTTCTTTTTTCTCCCTTTTTTTTTCTTTTTCATTTCACATTCTTTCGAAGAGGGCTTTTTCATCACTTTATAGCTATCATTGATTACCTTTTTCCACTCAACCATCCTTTTTTGTCTTTAGATTTACCAATTATAATCAATCTATGCTATAGTGCTCAAGGAAGCAAGGTGCAAAAATCAAGGATTCAACATAAGAGTTAAGGCAAAAATATGGCTACCAACAAAAGGCTACATGCTCATAGGGCTAGCTAGTGATATAATATCTGAAAAAGCTTAAATTTATAAGACAAATCAAGGAAAGCCTATTATTTTCTCCTAAACAAAGCGACACTTTTTATTTCGCTTCAATAATATGCAGGGCAAGTTCTAGACTAAGATGCAAAACATGGAATAAACAAATTCTCACCACACATGACAGAAGTATTAATCAAGATGTATCAATTCCACTTCTAAGAGAGACAAGATCATAACAAACTACAAAATAAAATAAGTTATATACAAAGTCACAATCATGAGCCTAGGTGTCAAAGATGATGCAATTTTATTAGCAATCAAGCATTCACAATAAAGTACTACTCAAAATAAGGCCTTAATAGCAAGTATCACACAACTCATAAGTTATATACAAAGTCACACCTCGCTTTATGTGCGCTTCAGTGTCGTCATAAAGATTCTAAGGCAAACATTTACTTGCCAATGAGCCTTTTATGAACTAGTGAAACAAAATAATTGATATTTCACTTTATCGTAATTTTTTTTTCAATTTCTTTGGTCATATATTTGTCATTCATGTTTATAATTATTATTCTTGGACTGAACATATATATTTGTATTTCTTTCTCCCTTTGCGCCTTTTTTCATTAAAGCCCACGCTTTATTTGCGCTTAAAACCCCCACAGACCTTAGAGTTTTTTGCACTTTTCGCCTTTGATAACACTGATCAAAACACAACAATTATCATAAAAATGTCCTCGAAACTAAGTCACATGCGGGTAAATCGTAGTAAATGGGCATATAAATACGCCCAAGATCAGTAATTCCCTAAATGTTGCTCTCGGATGATCAAGTCTGATTCCTTCCAGAGAGGCACCATTGAGTTTTATACTAGAGTTCAAGCAATGAATTTCCATGAGTACATCTTCCCATATTAGCAAATCTGATTCTATGTCTGTGACCTTTATTTGCCAAAATGTCTGCACACTGATTTGCTCCCTCCAGTTGTTGATAATATTTGCTTTCTCGACTTCCGGGTATCTGCAATCCTTGATAATAGCCTTGGAGGATGAAACTGTATGCCGTCTTCGTTGATAAGCTTAACAAGAAGCAAACAATCTGTTTCCACTTCTAACTCTTTTTATCTCACTGCCTATGCTAATTGTAGCCCTTGTTTGACTCCTATTTTCGTAGGGAAGCTTGAGGTAGGTTTTATCTTACATGAATATCCCATTATCCTTTTCCCTTGAGTATCTCAAAAAGTCTTCCAAAAGCAGCATCTCCAGTTTGGGTTTTCACATTGCCATCAGTATTCAGTTTAATCTTTTTCTAAACAAGGAGGAGACCAAGTGAATGATTAATCTTAACTTCAGATATAGAAGTTCGTCAAGGAAATGTTTCAACAATTTCCCAAGCATAACCACTAATATGTGCAAAGATCTGTTGATGGACGTTATTTTTTCCAATCAAATTTCTATTTCTTTCTTTCCATTTGCCAAATAGATGAAAATGTTAGTGTAACACAGTAGGAGATCAATCAATCCATTCAAGCATAAGCATAGCATTCATTTCATGAAATCAATCTCATTTTGGGAGAGGAAACTATTCCAAATTTATCTATATTTTGGACAAGTCCTAATAATATGTGAAAAGTCCTTATCATCATCACATCATTCGCATTTGGGGAAGTCAATTATCTTCCTAGTGAATCTAAGATTGTTATGTCTTACAACCCATATGAGTTTTTTTTTAAAAAGAGGTTCTTACAAGTCATATGAAGTGTTTTATTTTCCCTAGGTGAAGTTTCCATATATTAGTCAATATCCTATCATTTGAGCTGTGTATCCAATTATGCTTCTGTTGATCCTTGGACTAATCTCCTTTTTACCACTGCATGCAATGCAGAAATGTCTGATGTAACAAATTTAACCATAGTAGTTAACTGATGATAGTATGTTTTCGTATATTTGCCTGGAATATAGGGAAAGGGATGAAGCTTGAAGGGTGTGATTCAGCTCTGTTGCTTAATATTCTTTGCTCGCCATTGTATTTGATTCTAGTTGGAACTAAATATTTGTCTTTCTCTCAGCATTTGGAGGGGGCAAAGCTTGATGGTGCCAATTTACTGGGTGCAATCAGGTGACACCACAGATTTGTGCTCATCCCAAACCTCTCCCAGAGCAACATTAAAGAAGAGATCTACAAAAAAGAATTGTATAGCAATAGTATCAAGCCTTACATGTATTGACCAACTATTTTAGTTTAATTTGGTTTCTAAATCTCAATTTAATTATCTGTATGTGTGTAAACCCAAATTGTTTCAAACCATTCTGGCCTTGTAAGAATGTTTAACTTTTCAAATCTGAGAATGATCAAACAAGAGGTACTTTCCAAGAAGAATTGAATAGGCATAGAAGGGTTTTTCCGAAGAAATGATTTGTGGATCATGCAATAATCCCACAAGTCTAGTTTAAGTATATATGAATGTAATCAACACATTACACAGTAACATCCTTTCAGTGCATTGAATGATTGCTCTAAACGGGAACTAGCAAATGCCCTACTCTTCCCAATCCTAGTACATAACATGGATCATATATTGTCATTGCTGGTTTTTTCCTTTAGGTCTAGCAGTCGAGGAAACAGCAATAAGCTGCAAATTGAATTGTTTACCACCAAAACACATACCTTACTGGTATCACAATTTCATACACCTACTCCTTTGAGTTCATCAGGTTAATTCACTTTCCTCATAAGGGACCTCATGAAAGGGGCTAGGGAGATAGGGAAACAAAAGTAACTGCAAGATGTACCATTACCTTGTACCCACTGCGACATGGTGGCCTTTTTTTTCCAGTTACACTTGGCAATTGCAAAGATACTAGCAGTAGAAAATCCTTCTGATAGAGAAATAAGATAGATCAAATTGGAGTATAATTTGTTAAGATCATAGAACCGAGTTACTGCAGTAATGAGTAGAAGTACAGCTTGCTTAACAATGGAGAGAAACTCTCTTCTTCATTGAACATTGAAAGCCTTTACAAGGGAACTCTTTTTACAACTCTCTTCATTCTATGACTATACCATTTATATATACAATCAGTTCATCAAGCTAACAGGCTAACAAATTCTAACTAACTAAATTTGTTAATTTAACGAACTTGTCAGAGCTAACTGATAGCTGTGCATTTTACTAGCTGCTCAACATCCTCCCTCGAGCTAGGTGTATGAAAAACATTCTTCATTCCTAGCTTGGCAAGCCGATACGCATGTTGAACACAAGTTAATCCTTTGGTGAGTAAGTCTGCAGGTTGCTCTGTTGTTTCCAAGTACATAGGTTGAACTAATCCTAGTTGAACCTTCTCTCTGATGAAATGGCAATCGATGTCTATGTGTTTTGTACGTTCATGGAAGACTGGGTTGGCAGCAATCTGTATTGCTAATTTGTTGTCACTGTAAGTAGGCACAGGCATCTTCACCTGCACTCCTAGTTCTTTGAAGAGTCCAACTAACCACACAACTTCTGTAACTATTGATGCCAAGCTCCTGTATTCAGCCTCTAAGCTCCTTGAGATAGTGTTTTGCTTCTTGGACTTCCATGATATCAAAGAATTTCCATATGTGACCACGTAGACAGTAATGGATTTCCTGTTATTTTGACATGTTGCCCACTCTGCATCACAATATGCAGTTTGTTGATTATCAGCATTGGCACTCATAAAAATTCCCAACCCAGTTGATTGTTTAACATACTTGACCACCCTCATTGTTGCATCCATGTGAGATGTCTTGGGATTGTGCATGAACTGACTTAGGAGTTGTATTGCAAATGCTATATCTGGCCTTGTGATCGTCAAATAAAGCAACCTTCCCACCAACTTCTGGTACACAGTAGAGGAAAGTGCAGATCAAATTCTGTAGTTGTAAGTTTCTGATTCAGTTCAATAGTTCAATAGGTGCTCTGATAGGCTTAGAAATGGACAACCCCATGTTTGAGATTAGTTCAAGTCAGTACTTTATTTGGTGCATAAGAAGCCCTGTTGCATTTCTAGCAAACTCAATTCCTAAAAAATATCTCAGCTCCCCTAAATCCTTGATTTTAAAACTGTCTTTGAGAGCCTTCTTTGTTTCAAGGATCAGTTTGTGATCATTCCCTGTGATAAACAAATCATCAACATACACCAATACCAATACCAATACCAAACTTTCACCTTGATGCTTTGTGAATAAAGAGTAATCATAATGGCTCTGCTGGAAACCAGAATTAGCTAAGGATCTGGTTAACTTGATGTTCCATTGCATACTTGCCTGTTTGAGTCCATACAGTGACTTGGTGAGTTTACACACTATCCGTCTCTCACTGTGATGCCTAAAACCCAAAGGTAACTCCATGTATACTTTTTCATTCAAATCACCTTGAAGAAAAACATTAAAAACATTTATTTGGTGTATTTGCCAGTGATGTGTAGTAGCCAAGCTTATGACAACTTTAACAGTCCACATCTTCACAACAGGATAGAATGTTTCCTGATAGTTCAAACCTTCCTTTTGGTTGTAACCCTTGGCTATCAACCTAGCTTTGAATCTATCAACCCCTCCATTAGCCTTATACTTCACCTTGTACACCCATTTACACCCTCTGACCTTTTTTTCCTCAGGCAATTGTGTAAGCTTCCATGTGTGATTTTCTTCCAAAGCATGGATCTCATTTTGCATAGCTTCAATCAATCTAGGTTCTGTATGGCTTCCTGATAAGAAGCAGGTTCCTTTTCCTGAGATAACTTAGTAACAAAGCTTCTATAGGCTGGTGTGATGCTCTCATAATCAACTATATCTCCAATGGGATACAAGCAATTGCTAGCTAGCTTCTTAGGCAAAACATAGTATGTGTGCCACAAAGGGGGCTTAGCAGGTCTATTGGATCTTCTAACAATAACAGGTTCAACAGCATCATGTAAGACTAATGGTGGGGTCTGATTCTGAGACAAAACATCAGGCATAGAGGCCTGATCATCCTGAGGAGGTGCAACATCAGAGGAAACATTTGTGTTATGAGGCTGAAAGTCTTGACTGCCACTGGGATGTCCTTCACTACTAGAATGAGTAGTATCATTTCTGCTTACAACACATGGTGTGAGCTTACAATCTTCTACATGTGAATGAAGTATAGAAAATATTTGATCAGTGGTATCACCTGAACCTGATGTTTGAAATGGAAATTCCTTTTCATAAAAAATAACATCTCTGCTAACAAACATAACCCTTGACTCAATGTACAGCAGTTTATATCCCTTAAGATTGACAGCATACCCAAGTAGCACAGCCTTTCTGGCCTTTGGTGCAAACTTATCATCATTCCTCAAACTAGTAGCAAATGCCAAACACCCTATCACTCTTAGGTGAGTTAAAGAAGATTGTTTGCCATACATCAGTTCATATGGTGACATGTTTCCCAAGACTGTGAGAGATACTCTATTTATGATATATGTTGCAGCTTCTATGCATTCACCCCAAAATCTATTTGGTAACTGCCCTTGAAATTTGATAGATCTTGTTGTCTCTAAGAGGTGCCTATGCTTCCTTTCTACAACTCCATTTTGTTGTGGAGTATGTGGATAAGATCTTTGGTGGATGATCTCATGCAATGCAAACAAATCACGACAATTAGAATTCATAAACTCTCCTCGATCACACATTTTATCTGTTTCTTGCTTTTGAAGCATTTTCCTTTTAGAAGTATTCATGAATGATTGTTATCCTTCATGAATAACAATTCATAAGTTGTGCTTTATAAAATCGATGAAATGATTGCAATCTGGTTAAAGATGATTCAAGCAACAATTGACAGGAGAACTAGCTGGGTTTCCAGCATGAGCAGTAGCTTGAATTATTAATTGTTACAATGATATTTGAGGGGGAACAAAAACAACTAAAGCATTCAAACTTAAGAAAAACCTACTCCATTACAAGTGTCTGTTGGAGAACAAAGTGAGAAGACAGACAATAATTTTTACCTCAAACGTTGTCCTAGTTCTAGTTTTGTAAATCTAAACATTTAGACTTCATAAATACTTGGGCTAACCCATCAGTGGCCACCTAAAGTTGGCATCAATTTTCATTTAGACACCTTAACTAGGCTTTGTTCATTTTAGACACCTCATGTCATCCCCAATTGTGTCATTTGACACTTTTTCGACAATCTGCCAAATTTGTAAGATGTGTGTAACACACTTGCTGATGACGTGTCAAAGTGACGAATTAAATAAAGACACATGGCATATATAGAAAAAATAATTATTAAATGATGAATCTTGAGTAGGAAAAAAACTACCAATGACTCATTGACATGTGACATTTCTTTAACTAAATAATTTTAAAAAAAACACTTTGAATAAAAAGAAAATCATATGCACACCACCCCAAATTGTCTTCTCTACAACCCACGCCCACCTCAAACCCCAACCCCTCTCTCTCACCCAGATTTTCTTCTCCACCCCCGACCCTCCCTCACCCAAATGTGTCAAAAGAAGAAGCTGTTTTTTGTTTGTTTTTATCACTTTGTGAATGTTGTGAGATAAGAACGTCTTTTTTCTAATAGAATGATGTTTGAATGCTTGATTTGGTGAATGTGGTAATGCATTTGCTTGACCTTTTTGGGGTTTTTTTTTTTCTTCCTTTTTTTTTGGATTTCTGGATCAATGCAAGTCAAAAATTGGTTCTTTGGTACATAACTATGGAGTCACAAACTTTCTACTAAAAATTATATAGCTTATCTATTTGATTTGGACTTTTTCTGTAATTATGATGTGAGATGGCATACAAATGGATTGGAACGCTAAATTGTTAGTTGTGAATGTAGGATTTGATAATTGAAAATATGATTTCTTGCCATTTTTGAGTGTGTTTTTTTCTTCTTGAAATTTATGTTGATTTTCTCAAATTATTTTGAGGAGGAAGGACAACAAAATAAGTGAAAGTACTTAAGCTTAAAATTTATGGGCGCTAGAATTCACTTTTTGTTTGTGGCATTGTCAAATTTATTTCACCATGGCAAGAGTTTAAGCTTGGAAAATGGTAGCCAAAAAATGGGGAAGAAGAAGAAAAAAAAAATTAAAATTTGGTAAAATGAGGCTCTCACGCGCGTCCAGTGAGTGTAGCACACTTGCTATGCCATCTCAGCAGAAAGTGACAAATTGACACAGCAAGACATGACATGAGGTGTCTAAAATGAACCAAGCTTAGTTAAGGTATCTAAGTGAAAATTAGTGCCAACTTTAGGTGGCCACCGATTGGTTTGCCCTAAATACTTCAAACAAAAAAAAAGTACCTAAACTTTTTATTAATTTTAAAATACTAAATATTAGAAAA